CCGACAGCATTCTCTATTCTCATCATCATCGGTAGACTAACCAATTAACTCAACAGCAGACATCGCGTTGTATGTGGTGCCTCAGTGGCATTCGCTCGGTTGGTGGCGGCATGCAGAATTTACATATACACAATGCCACCTACTGATTGGCAAATTTGTTGGTAACATATTTTGTATATCCTAACTACATGGCAACAATTTTGCTTCTTCTTGTAAAACTATTTACAATCAGTGACATAATCATCCGCATTTCTTTGCGTTATTTTTAGATAATTATTTTGATTTTATTGGTTTGTTGGTTGTCTTGTCGATGGCGTTTGATTTGCGCGCCCTCAGTGGTTACAAGTTTTGGCATGATACTTTCTTCTACAGTATGTATATACATATACAAATGTATATATATTTTTAAAATTTTGGTATTTTATATTTGTTGGTCGCATGTGAGTTATTAATGTAATTATTGTTATTTATATTTAACAAATGCTTTTTACAATTGAATTTAATTTAATTTTCTATTCATTTATTTTGCACTGTATATAATTTTTTAATTAAAATTATTTCTTTTATTTGATTTCGATTTCTTCGGCGTTATTTAATTTTCTTTTAGTTTGTTTTATTTAGATTTAATTTGTTTTGTTTTATTTATTTTCATTCTATTTTATTTTGTTATTTATTTATTAAATTTTTTTTATTTACTTTTGAGCTTGATTTATTTGTTTTATATATCATTTAATTTATTAATTAAATAATTTTAAAAATTTAACTCATTAAATACGTTTTATGCTATTTTGTTTAATTAATTTAATTTTAATATAATTTTATTTTAATTTAGCTTTAATTAAATTAGTTTTATTTACGTTTAAATAATTTTTTTAATTTTACTCTAATATATTTAAATTTTGTATGCTCTTTTATTTTATCATATTTTATTTAATTTGTTTTTATTTNGTTCTTTGTTATTTGTTTTTAGTTTTTTTTTTATTTTTGTATGTTTTTAAGTTTTGAATTTTTTATTTATTTTAAACAATTTTATTTTGCTATATTAATTTTTTTACTAATCGTTTTAGTTCATATCGCTCTATTATATTTGTTTGTTATATTTAAATTTTTATTGTTTGTTTTATTTTACTTTATTATAATTTTATTTTATTATTTTATATTTTCATTTAATTTTTTTTTTCATTAAATATTTTTGAAAACGTTTTTATTTATTTGTTTTCTTGCTTTTTTTAATTTTACAGTAGATTATCTAATTTTGTTTTGTTTAATTATATTTGTTTGTTTTCTGGGTTTTATTTGTTTTTGTTTTGCTTGTTTTATTTTACTTTAGTTAGTTTAGTTCTGTTTCATCTTAATTCCATTTTTTTTTTTCTTATTAGCCGCCAATAAAATAAATTTTCTCAGCACTGCTGAATTTAGTTTGTATTTATTAAATTAGGTTTATTTTTTATTTACTTCAATTAATTTTTATTTTAATTATTATTTATTTTTTTCCACTTCAATTGTCACATATTTATTTGAACCTACCCCTCGTTATCACAGCAATGCAAAATAAATATATAAATAAACTCTGGAAATGAATGACATTTTCTTTGTGCCTTCATACATATGTATGTCCATGTGTATATATGAATATTTAGAGAACTTATTTCATTACATATTGATAAGCTTAAGAATTATTTAAACACAATTATTGCGTATGCCTTATCGCCAGAAGCTGTTGCTGTGTTGTTTTGTATATTTTTCCCCGTCAATTTAATTTTACACTTACAGAATAAAAATTAAAGATAAACAATATATTTTTTTTTCATTCATAAGGAAAATATAGTTAAAACGATAAGCTAGAAAACATTTGTGCTTCATTCACAAAGTGACTGCGGATGCATCTGTTGCTATGTAGAAATATGTTCTATGGACAAATGAGTTAGCTTCTGGAATAACCATAATTTGATTTGCATTCATTTGCAATGAATAATTTTTTCATCTGCTTACTATTTCTGATATTTACAAATACTGTATTTTATCGATAGAATTCTAACTATTTTTCAATATACTCAGACGCTGTCGATCGTCGACTTACAAACGAGTTGCTAAATTAACTCTTTCTTGTCGTCTGCAGAGATTCACTAGAAATAAGTTTGAATTAAAGCCATTTTTATAATTTTATTTAACAATATATAGATAACCACCGAAAATCTAGAAACTCAATTTAAGTGGCTTTTGTGAAAGCAGTGCAGCAGCCTTTTCCACTTCTGGTCATACTCAGTCGTCATCACCTTGAAAGGTATTGATTATAATAATAACGGGACAAAATATTCATCCGCTAAGATACCTCAAAACGACAATGACATTTCAACGCGTCATTTGCAGTATCACAACACAGTTTAACGCCTTTGTTGAATTGTTTTAAAAATGCTCACATGAACTATATGCATCCTCATACTACATATCTACATACATACATATTTTTGTACAAATGCACCTACAAAGTATGAGAAGTCACCTCGATGTATCAGCGTGCATGCCGTGTCGGTTGACAGCAATTTATGCTTACATATTTTTCATTTATTTCATTTATTATACATTTAAAAATAGGAAGTGCAGTGACAGTAGCGCGCAGACAACAAACACAACACAAAGATTCTTAATTGAAATTGAAAAAACGCAAAAACATAAGAAAAGTCGTTAATTGCAAAATAAGTTGTGCGGGTGATTGGATAACGTGATGCATCATTATGCTTAAAGGAGAGGAGGTAGAAAGTGTTTTGAGTAGAGTGACTCATTTGAATATTTAAAATAATAATAATTATGCATTATTTTTTTCAAGGCGAGCGAGAAGAAGGTCTTATTAGAGCTAGAGGAGTACTGTTTATATAAAAATTAATACGTGAAAACATAACTTTTAATAAATTGATTATAATTAAAGTCAACATTCTACTAAATATTTTCAAAAAAATATTTAAGGTAGGAAAACTAAAAATTATATTGAATAAAAAAAATTAGATAAATAATAATAAAAAAAAAAAAA